ACCAAAGCATAATAACCTGAGGTGAGTCTCCTATCATCAATACATCCTGCCCAATCAGCATTATTGTATGCTTCCAGCTTCATGTGTCTATGTTTGACAAATAGAATACCTTTCCCTGTAGTACCTTTCAAGTAACACAACTCTTTTTGCAAGAGCTAAATGAGTATCTCTAGGAGAATGCATAAATTAACTGATAACACTCATTGATCTCAAATTCAGAGTTAAGAAATCTTTTGAGTTTATTGACCTCTTGGATGTCATTACCCGTGACTACAATATCATCAACATAGACTATCAAAAAGGTCACGAAAGAGCCACTTCTTTTCAAGAACAAGGTATGACCTAATGATACGAGTAGCTCTGAACCTCTCAAACCAAGCCCGAGGAGACTGTTTGAGACTGTAAATAGATTTCTTCAATCATCTTCTTCACTCTACACAATGCCTCATATACAATTCCCATTGTTGCTCTTTTTTCACCATCAACAATTCGAAGCATTTTTACAAAGGGCTCAGTCATCAAAGCATATTGTTGAACTAATTTCCAAAAATTATTGTCATTGATAATTTTCTCAACTTTTTCTCACCTTTTTGTTCTTGCTTGTGGTAGTGGTTTCCACTCATCTAAGTCAATCATGCATCTCAATGTTGTCTTTTGAGAATTTAAACTTTCAAGAGCAATATAATGAGTAGTAAGCGAATTGGCCCTGGACATATTAACTCTATATTATTTGTGAAGTTCATCAAGTTGAGAATAATTAAGTGATTATAAATGAAATTGGTAATTGTTTTTCCCCTTTCAATCACTCTGGTAACCATAGAAAGTTTAGCAATGTCTTCTAACATTAAATCAAGGCAATAAGCTACACACAGTGTCCAATACAAATGCTTTCTTTTTTGTTTTAACATTTCGCCAGCTGCTTTATAAGCACTTCCATTATTAGTCACAACTTGTACAACATTTTCTACACCAATTTCATCAACCACTACATTCATCAAATTAAACGAATACTGTGCATTATGTCGATCACTAGATGCATTAATAGATTTATGAAACATTGTTTGCCCATTATAATACACCATAAAATTGATGATCGACGATTTAGTTGGTCACGTCTAACCATCACACATAATAGTGATCTCATATTTTCAGTTTCTTGGAAGAATGTTTTGAAATGGCTTTTCAACTCTTCAACTTCCTCATCTAAGAACATCCCCATAATTTCATAAGGTGTAGGCCCCCATATACCTTTTCCTACTTTTGCAATTTCATCTATCATGATTTTATAATATTGAGAGATTGCTGCATTTGTAGGGATATGATTGTATAGAAAAAACTTTGAAATAGCTCTTCTAGCATCATTTCCAGATCCATGGTCATAACACTCCTTATATTTTTTTTCCCAGCATTTTTGTCTCTATACAAAAATCTGTCCATCTCTTCTATATTATGAGTGTCATTTTTTGAGGATTTTTTGGACTTGGAGGGCTTAAATATGTTAAATACTTCTTTCTAACTCTTTGCTCGAAAGATATTACTCTTGCTTTTAGATAATTGTGGTTGTGAAGAGCCCCCCTCTCGATGTTGTGATTCTCTAAATTAGGGCCTAGTGCTATGGAATTTTTGTAATTGTTCTTGTTCCCATTGAGAAGCTCGTGATGCATGTCTACCCATATTGAATGCCCTTTGCTCTATATCATCATCATCATCATCAATGTTAACATATTCAGACATTTTTTCACCATCATCATCTTCTTCTTCTTCCTTATCCCCATCATCCCTTCTAGGCCTTAATGTTCTTCCTATCATTTTTTTCTCTTTGTTTTTGTTTTTTCAACATCTCCTGTTCTTTGAGATGTTCTTTCATTGCCTTGGTAATTTTCATTAGGCACTTTGAACAATCAGATACATTTGGATACCCTCTAGCCAAGCGATGTTTAAGACGGGTTACACCACTGACTTTCATAATTTGCCCACAAAAATTACATGTGGTATGGAGTCTATTATTATTTACTTTAGTACCATATTTCTATCTAATATCTGGTTCTTCTTCCATTTTAGGTACAATATCAAATACTCGGTAGAGAGCACTTCATAATTCGTGTAAACCATAAAAATAAGTTAGAAAACACTTCATAATCATATTTATATTTATTCAATATAAATGTCATATTTATTCATGATCCACATTTCCAAATTATTATTCAAATTTAAATAAAAAAAACAAATGATCTATGGAAATGTTAAATTAGCCATATATTAAGAATATATTCAGTGTTTATGAAAAAATTACAATAAAAGATAAATAATTAATATTCATTTTTAATTTTAGAACTGATAGATCAGCCATATATTAAGAAAATTTCAGTCCTTAGAGCTATATCATAACAAAATATAATTAATTATTATTTATTTTTAATTCTAAAAATTACAAAAGAAAATTAAAAAAAAATCATATTTGAATGATAAATGCCAAATGATCAACCGATATGATAGATCAACCATATATTAAGAATATATTCAATCCTTAAGGCTATATGTATATCATAACAAAATATAATTAAATATTATTTATTTTTAATTCTGAAAATTATACAAAAATTCAAAAACATCATATTTGAATGATAAATGTCAAATAATCTATGGATATGATAGATCAGCCATATATTAAGAATATATTCAGTGTTTATGGACAAATCATGTTAAAAAATAATTAATTAATATTTATTTTTAATTCTAAAAATTACAAAAAAAAATCAGAAAAATCATATTTGAATGATAAATGTCAAATAATACATGGATATGATAGATCAGCCATATATTAAGAATATATTTAGTGTTTATGGACAAATCATATTAAAAAATAATTAATTACTATTTATTTTTAATACTGAAAATTACAAAAGAAATTTCAAAAAACCATATTTGAATGATAAATGTCAAATAATACATGGATATGATAGGTCAGCCATATATTAAGAATATATTCACTGTTTATGGACAAATCATATTAAAAAATAATTAATTAATATTTATTTTTAATTCTGAAAATTACAAAAGAAAATTCAAAAAATCATATTTGAATGATAAAAGTCAAATAATCTATGGATATGATAGATCAGCCATATATTAAGGATATATTCAGTGTTTATGGACAAATCATATTAAAAAATAAATAATTAATATGTATTTTTAATTCTAAAAATTACAAAAAAAATTCAAAAAATTATATTTGAATGATAAATGTCAAATAATCTATGGATATGATAGATCAGCCATATATTAAGAATATATTCAGTGTTTATGGACAAATCATACTAAAAATAATTAATTAATATTTATTTTTAATTCTAAAAATTATAAAAAATTCAAAAAACATCATATATTTAAAGAATACGTGCCAAAATGCCAAATGATCTATGGATATGATAGATCAGCCATAGATCTACAATATATTCAGTGTTTATGTACAAATCATAACAAAAAATAATTAATTAATATTTATTTTTTATTTCCAAAAATTGAAAAAAAAAACAAATTACATAGAAAATTTCAAATCTTACATGGATATGGTAGATCACCTATAGGTTTCCAGCATATTAAGTGCTTACATTCAAACAAAAAAAACATCTTACATGGATATGGTAGATCACCTATAGGTTTCTAGCATATTAAGTGCTTACATTCAAACAAAAAAAACATCTTACATGGATATGGTAGATCACCTATAGGTTTCTAGCATATTAAGTGCTTACATTCAAACAAAAAAAACAAGCAATTTTTTTAAAATTTTTTCTTTATTTTTATTTTTCCATATTTCTTCATAAAAATCCATAAATCTACACATATAATAAAAAATGTGATTTTTAACATGGGAAATGTAGATCAGGTAGGTTTAGAGCATTTTCAAGCATTCAAACAAGAAAGAAACAACAAATCAGAGAGATTAGATAAAAAAAAAATTTGAAAAAACTCACATATTTTCGCAATATTTTCCAGAACTTATATGCGTTTCGCAATATTTTCGCATCTAATCAGAGAGATTAGATGCGTTTTTGCTGTTTTTTTTTTTTTAGTAGATCTAATAGTGTAGACAAATATGTGTGAGGTTTGAAGTGGTTTGGGAGGGAGAGAAGGCTTTTTTCGAGAGAAAGAAGCCTTCTTTTGTGAGTTCGAAAAATTATATTTCTGCCCGTATCGTTTTAGCACCGTATCGGGCGCATATCGACCGGTACGGCACCGAAACGCACAATACGGCCCCGTATTGTGTCAATACGGTACCGATACAAGTAAAAAGATACGACATTTATGAACTCCTACCGTATATCTTTTTCTAAAATATACAATACAATACGCCCCATATTGGGCATATCATATCAATACTTTAAACCTTAGTTGAGAATAAATGAAACAGATTTTTCTTTATCGAGTTTGTTTCTTCTGTGCAAACTATGCTCTGTTTTTGCGAATTTTGTGCCATTTTACATGAATCATTTAAAACTGCAAGAATCAATTCCAACCCAATTAGTAATTGGAACAAAATCACAAAATCAGAACTGAAATAATCAGTTAGGTCAGTTGTAAACCCAACCCATTGACTGCTCTACTAGCGGGTCTCCCCACTAGTGCTAACCATGCTTCGAGTCCGGATCAGCTACTAACTTGTCGCAGTTCCGACCTCTCTACAAGTTAAAAGATCTCCTGCGAACAAAATACCTTCCCAATACCCTATCAATATGATCTGACATCACACATTTTACTAAATAACTGGGACCCACTATAAAAATGGGACCCTCTAAGATGTATGGTGTCAGATCATGTTGGTAGGGTGTTGGAACGTGTTTCATTGGCAGGAGGTCTGGACTCCTGACCTGCACGTTGGAAGTGGAGACAGAATCCTATGCAAGGACATAAAGTGAAAGAGTCCCAATTACCAATTGATCCAAATTAACTATAATAGCTTTTTCTTACTTTACATTTTCCTATTTTCAAACATAAAGAGTCCACACCAACTCAGTGATTGTATTGAATTTGCAAGCCAGAAAACAATGACAAAGGGAATGATAAGCAAGATATTCACTTCTGATCAATTCAAAACGAAACTTACCAGTATCAGCAACTGTAAATAGTTACAAGCTTACAGTTATATTTAGCTTTCTCCGTCAGGAGCAATCATTTACATATCTAAACTGTTTTAGCCAACAAACCTAAAAGCTTCATGGAGCTACACAACCCATCCCCGAAACCCTTGGTGGCAGCAGGATTTAATCCCACTTCTCCGCACAGAGAACCTACCAACTGAAACTGAGCCACTATCAGTAGGTGTTTTAGCCAACAAATCTAATAAGCAGACGAGACAAAAAAAAAAAGACAATATATACATACTTAATTCAACCTCAGACTTCGCCTGAATTGGAGCCCAAGTGATGACTCATCGATAATCCTAATCCTTCTGATGCTAGCCTTTTCTCGCTTAATGTGAATCAGTTTGTCATAGACACACCATGGAAAGCTGAGAAAATGATCCCGCTTCAGTCCCTCGTTGTAGCATCCCCAGTAGTCTGGATGATAGGTCACATGATACCAAGCTGATGCTTTTGCATATACATCATCTGCCTCGGGGCCTGGCCCAGATTTCTCATTAAACCAAGCTCTTGCCTCCTTCCTCAAAGACCTAACTGCCAAGCTGATTGCTTCAGCATCCCGTTTTTTTGTGAAGGACTTGGACAACTTCATTATATTTCCACTAAGGATCTCTGCCTCGGTTTTGATCCCATAGTAGTCCATCAGGTTCCCCAACTTGGAATCATACTCACCTTTGTAATAATAAGCATCACTTAAATAATCTTCAAACCCATCAACCTCCATATCAGGGTCATAAGATCGTCTTGCCACCTCCTGTGTGAAGGATCTTATAGACCAAGTTTGAGGCGCAATGTCTTTAACTGCTCTGAAGAGCTTGCCAATCACCCGCTCAGATACATAGGTAGGTTTATCTAGTTTTTCCATGAAATCCGGATATTCCTTCACATACAGATGTTGTGGTATTTCAGCAGGTACACCGGTCTTTGGGAAGTCAACAGCGATTGAGAAAAGCTTTGCAAGCTGTAGACATGCATCACTTTCAGCCTTCTTTGGCTCCTTATCAGCAAAGGCGGTGTGTGCGTTTGCAATGATCCCTAGGCTTTCATTGACTATGTAATTTGTGAAATATTCCTCTATTTCCTGCACCAGAGAAACAAATGCATAGCCTATAAAATGAAGTAATGGAAAGAAATAACTTTTGTTTTGGTTGTTTTATACAAAGCATTCATGCAAGCACCTTTTGAAAGCTGTTCTTTAACATGTAATGTAAATATATCAAGGTCCAAGAAGCAGGTTTCAATGCTAAAAAAAAAAAAAAAAGCAGCTTTCAATGCTAGAGGATGGTAAAATTGTAAGGGTGATCATAGGATGGGCTGGGCCCAGCCCAAGCTTAGCACCTATGATAAAGGTAATAGCCCATCCTGGCTGTACTTCAGGCCTAAAACATAAGCGGCAGGTCGATCTTTAGGCCTATGACATTATACTACAAAAATTTAAATATTTATAAGGTTTTATATTATATAAGGTAGAATATTATATGAATAAAAATGTTGTATGGGCCCAAGCCAGGCTGGGTCGGGCTAGGTTTTGGGCTTATGACATTAAAACAACATCAATATGGTCGCCCAACTTCCATTCATCTATAAAGCTCTAGTTTTCACTTTTCAAAATCAATCGAGGTCCTATATCGACTAGTTGTGAAACTATAGCTTTGCTTTCATCTATATATAGATAGTTAACCTTAACCAAGCACTCGTGCACCCATATTGAGTCGACAGAAAACCTAGGCCCAAGACCAGAAGAGAAGGGCCAAGTTTGGTTTCCAGGCCCATCTGTAAATGATCACCACTATGCAACTGTCTATAATGTCAAACAGATAACATTTTCCATAAAATAACTACAATGTACTTAAATAATTACAAATATGCTAAGAAGTAAATGAGCAATGCAAAAACTAAATGTTCTGTTGTTTAAAGAAGAATTAGTGTACATATATACATAAACATTAGGAGATATAAAAACCTCTTATCTCTCAACTCTCTTTTTCTTACAATTGTGTCCAAAAAATTACATGGATTCCCACCCCCTGTTTTTCTAAAGAACTAGCCATACTGTTTGCTTTGTATCAATTGAAGCCTCATTTTCATATATCTCTGATCAGCCATCTGAATTTCTTTATTTGGTTTCTGACCACAGAGCATCCTCTCGCTCTTGCAACCACTCAATTACCAGCCTTGAGTCTCCTTCCATGATAAATTATCATATTCATCTTGCTCTCTATCCACCTTCCATGACAGCCATAATCTCAGCCCTTAAAGAATCTCCTTTACCAATCAGTCCAGAAAACATTACCACTATATAACCTTCCTTGTCCTTGAAAATACCTCCCATTTCTGAAGGGCCTAGATTCTCCATGCTACTTCCATCAAAATTAAGCTTTAGTAACCCTTTCTCTGGTGGTGTCCAGCTTATACATATCTAACTCTTTTTTGAGGAAGCCTCCGCTATTTCCCTCCACATTCTAATCATATCATATATATCGGAAAAGGTGAAAATCTCTCCAATGATTTTACCCAATGAGCCATCTTGGCGGTAATGCACTCAATTGTATCCTTCTCTCCTCCTGGAAATTTCTTGTATTTCTTTCTTCCCATATTGTCCAAATAATTGCAGCCATAGTGCATCTCCACAAAATCTTTCCCCTTTTCTTTGGCCAAACAAAGGTTGTAGGGGCAAACAAGCTTTTGGCAAAGTGGATGGAAGATTCCACCTACACCCAAATAAAGAGAAAAACCAATCCCTAATGGTATGTTTGGTTGCCAAGAAAGGGATGGGAAGAAGGAAGAATCTTTCAAGAATATTCAATTTTCCTATTGTATGTTTTGAAAGAAAAACTGGGATGGGAAGAGAAAGACTTGGGACAGGGTTTCCGAAAACCAATACACGGGGTCACCAAAATGGTGAGACCCCGCTGAGAAAGGAAAATAGAGGCCTTTGTGAGAAAATTTTGTCGAGCCAACAACCCAGAGAGCGTCGTCTTCTTCTCAGACGCTGTCCAATGGTCATCTCACCGGCACCACCTCCGCTGATTTTATCAAAAGGTAAGCTCAGATTTGGCATCCTCTCGCGATTTCCACCCATTTTTGTACCATATTTGTCTTCTTTCATTGAATGAATCCCCCTTCAAATCTCACCTTCGTCTACCACCATCCCTGGTCTTCCAAACTAGTTTCCATTCACAGAAAAATGGTAGATCTACTGTTAGAGGCATCGTTCTTCTATGTCAACAGCCATTTCCGTTCATTTTAATGCATGAACTCCAGATCTGGCTTCTGGTGTCTACCTCTTCCAGATCTGGCAGTGTTATTAGTACTAAACGTTAAAATGAACTCGGATCTGGCGGTTTTTTTGCATCTACCTCTTCCAGATCTGGCGTCTACCTCTTCGTCTACCACCATCCCTGGTCTTCCAGACCAGTTTCCATTCACAGAAAAATGGTAAATCTACTGTTAGAGGCGTTGTTCTTCCATATCAACAGCCATTCCCGTTCATTTTCACATCTGAGCTCTAAATCTGACTTCTGGCGTCTACCTCTTCCTACAAAGTTTTCTCATCAACCAAACACTGGAAGCAGATTTTGTAGGATAATAGGTCTCAGCAAACAAACACAGGATACCAAAAATGAGAATAAATTTTCCTTTCTCATCCCATCCTTTCCCATCCCATCCCTTATCATCCCACTGTTTCTCGGCAACCAAACGGACCATAATGCAAGTAACAAATGGAAAGAACAAGAACATGATCTAAGCAAGTTGGGTATACCCAACTTGTGGGGTAGTGTTGAGTTTCAATTAACAGATGACATGAACTAAGCAAGTTAGGTATACCCAACTCGAGGGGTAACGTTGAGTTTCAATCAACAGATTGTGATTAGTTTCTTTTATTTGTTTTTTATCTTTTATTATTGCTGTCTTTTTCTTTTATTGATTGGGTGGCCATGGGTATAATGGACATTGTAAACATTATTAATAGTAAATATGGATATAGTTGAAGGGAGTGGCTGCTAGAACTTTTAGCATCTCCATTATTCTTCCTTCTTTTCTCTCTTCTTCTTTCACATCACATCAATCCTTTTCTCTTGATGCTTTTTTCCATTTTTCTGTTTCCACACAAATCAAATAATTTGCATACCATCCATTATAGGCATTCTTCAAAACAACATCACAAAATCATTTTCCTTTTTCCAAATAAATATGGAACATATAAGAAAATACTATGAAGGATAAATTCTACTATAAAAAGAGGACATTCATGGTTCATAAACTCTGAAAGAATGTATTTCCTGAACATCCTCAACTAAATTTTGAGTGCTAGTAGACTACTTGAGTGGCACAAGAAAGAGGGGAGAAAGATGAAAAAGATGAGCAGAGAAAGGAAAGAGGGAAAAAATGGATTAGATTTTCAGAACTTCAGCTCAAATCCAGTAAACAAGTATCTATGAATGAATAGTAAATTGAAAATGTCGAGTCCAGTAATTCTAACAGCCTATCATGTTAAGGAATATTAATACCTCAATCGTAACATCATGGTCTAAATTAACACTTGGTTCTGGAAGATATTCCATTGGTTGGATTTGCCGAGGTGGAATAAGATCAGGGTCCCAGCAGACGAAGTAAACATCTCCATCTAAATCACTTCCAGAGCACTCATTTGGATGGGGCCTAAAATCAAAATTCAAATAATATTAGCATGTTTTGTTTTATAAAAGGTTTTTTTTTTTTTTGAAAGAAGAGAAAGGAACAACTGTAGAAGAGGCTTCCTACACCAAAAAAGGATGGAGAGGAAAATATAAGGTTCAGTTTGGAAGGAGTACAAATACAAATATGTATAGTGCAAAACCTTGTTTTTTGTATTATTTTGTATGTATTTGCACTGTACATATTTGTATGTGTACTCTATCCAAACTGAGCCAGTTTGGAAAGAGTATAAATACAAACATGTAGAGTGCAAAACCTTATATTTTGTATTATTTTGTATGTATTTGCACTGTACATATTTATATTTGTACTCTTTCCAAACTGAGCCTAAGGAAAAAATAATAGAAACAATCAACAAAAGCCCATTAACTGCTGGGAAAGCTAAATTATGTCTTGAATTTATGCCAAGAATTAAATGCTAGTAAATCAACTGACAAAAACACCCAAGCTACCAATACTGCCATAAGAACAGAAATGGAACTTCTTGTAAAAATCATCTAAAGCACTTGAAACATCACACTAGGATCAAGCATTCCAGAACCCATCTGCAGGTCATCAAAATGTCTCACCTTTTTCCTTCTTGTGGAAACACAACACAATCCACCATATGATGCAAAGCTGGGACATTGACAGCTTGCAAAAGACGCACATCACCAGGATGCAGACAAGGATTTTTAGCAACAATTATCTTTCCCTCTACAATAAATTTCTGCTGCTCTGGTTCATTTCCACTGAATACAAAGAGGGAACTTTCATGAAACTGTCTGCGTCCTATGCTAGAAACTTGCACAAATACTTCCCCATATTTCAAAGTTCTAGTTTCATCTAGGCATCCTAGCAGTGATCTTCCATTTGGAACAAATATCCTTGTCTTGGTCCTCAGTTCCAACAGTTTTGAAGCCCGAAATGTTTGCAGCATCATTGAAAGGAATGGTTCAGCATTGGGCTCATAACCACACAACAACATTTCTTTGAGAATATTGGTGTTCTCTCCCGGAGACATAATCTCAAGTGCTTCTTGTGCCTTAAGTGAGTCTGTTAAAATAGCATCCAGCTGATCCATAGCTTCTTTTTGCTTCTTCTCAAAAATACTATCCCTGACCCCTAAGGTAGACAAAAGCGTTATTATCTGGCGATTGAGAAAACAAGGCTGATACTTGCTCCATGACAATACATCTAGTTTTGTGTTTCGTGATTCATATTTAGACATGCTCCTTCTTAGGGACAATTTCTTCGTAGATGTTGGATCCACAGCAACAACACCTTTGTAGCCACCATATCTGATTTGGAATGCAGATGGAAAGGAACCCTTAAAGCCACACTTTTTTGCCACTTGTTTTGCAAAATCAGCTGAAATTTTCCCAATTCCATCTGAAAAAATGTATTCTATTCCTCTCCATTCAACCTTTATATCATCAATGATTTCAGTTTCATGCTCATAAACATTCAAAGTTTCCCTGGAAGAGCTGAATGATTGTCCTAATCTGGCTGCATATTTTGCTACATTTCTTATCTTAGAGAAATCACCCATCCACTGTCGAATACTCGCAGCAGTATACCCATTACTTGATGCAAACATCCATGCTGAATTGTCGCGTAACTGACTTGATGAGAAGGCAAGAAAATCGAACTTTTTATCACCAATAACTATGCCATTTTTCAAGGTAGAAAGTATCCTGTCATAGATTTCTGTATGCCCCTTTTCATTTGCAAATGATGTACGTGGAGATATATCGGTTGAATGAATTTTATCCAAATCCTCATCAACAAAAGAGATACGGATAAAATTATCAATATATCTGGAATACTCGCGCAGCACACGGTTGGAAACAATAACCTCAGGACCACAAAAATAAACTTTACAGGGAGTTATCTGAATCCTTCGAACATATACCAAACCATCATCCAATGAGATGGAGGGCAGCTTAGGAGGACGCTTTAGTGTACAGTATGCCCTATACTGTTTGGTTAACCAATTCACAGGCTCATAGCAGCATTCTTTTAAGTGATACAACTTTTCCAAGGCATTTTCTATATAGTCAATGGATATGAAATTAGGATCAACTAACCTAAAAAATGCGGCATCGAGTGTTGGCCCTGAAAGGCAACCATTCTGAACCAAGGAACAAACCTTAAACAGAATTTCATATGGAATGTCAGATCCTTGGCTTGGACCAACAATGGGGACTAAACTTAAACTGCGGGAGAATGTCGCACCACTCTCCAAGACGAATGGACCTTCATCTTCTTTATAATAGGCAAAGTATTCACGGATATTTGGAAGCACATAGCTGTATGGAAGCTCCAAACACAAGGCAGACGATTGTCCAATGCAGCATAAGGGAGTGAAATCAGTTGTTCTATCCCATTGATCATCTGGTTCTCTAAAATAGTTTAAAATAGGGTCTTCAAACATATTTTCCAAAGAAATTTTAACTTTCTTGAAAATCCTAGGAACACCAAACATCTGTGAACAATAAGAAATGATGTTAGAAATCGATTTTTGATAAGTAATGAAGCCAACAATCTTCTATTAGAAGCAATTAAGTTATTCTTAGAACAAAAAACATGTTTAAGGAAAGGTAATTGCATGCACTACCAGAGCTCAAATTGTCAATACAACGAGGTACTTGGTTTTTTGAATTTGAATTTATTATGAATTACTAGCATGACATAACATATGAGCTTAGTAGTTCTTGTGCAAATGTAAAATATCTCCAGATATTTTTTTTTTACAAATAGGTGTCCAAGGCCTCAAGAAAATTACAAAAATACCACAGACCTATTAAACTTCCCTAAATTTTCAATTTAACCTAATTCGAAAATCTATGGTTCATCTCCATTGATTGAGAACCCAAACTGGCGGCAATGGCATCTCTCTCTCTCTCCTTTTCCTCCTTTCAATTTCTTCCTCTTCTCCTCTTCCTTCCCCTTCCTCTATAGCCGCTATGCCAAAGCTGCCAATAGTAATACTGGAGAGAACCACCACCCCTCCTCCACTGGTCAATTGCCACTGCTATAGTAGCTCTACAATCCCATTTGAACGAGTAGTATCACCACCTTCAGCAGCGATTGGTTCCATCTCTGCATTGTATTGGTCAAATCTCGTTACAGGGTCCAAATGGGTTTTTGGCATCTCCATAGCCACCAAAGTTGTACTATAAATCACCAACAAATAGCCACTTGAATTCTATACTACATCTCACTTCATTCCTATTAAAGTTAGTCAACAGGGGTAGTTTTGTTCTTTTTCCTATTGTTAGTCAATCGGTATTGTTAACAACCGACCAGTTGTAATTTTGACAGTATTTAATAGAAGTATATAAAGGGTCGGTTATCAAGAGAATTGATTGGGTTTCTCTTGACTTCTCCTCCCTTTCATCCTATCTCTTCTTCTTTTCACCCTTTTCTTTCCTTTCAAGTCGGAGCACATGGTATCAAAGCCAACTAGACTTGTTCATGGGCCGAGTAGCCCAATGGACCAGTCCAACATGGTTCATTCTAAGTCGGGCTTGGACATAATTTTAGGCCCGGGTTTAGGGCTTGATAATATATATTAAATAAAAAAACATATTTTATTTAATAAAAAATATATACGATATTTTTTCTTTGTTTTCAAACTGGGCTCGGGCTTCGGGCTTTATATGAGGGCCAGGCCCGGGCTCAAGACCTAGGCCCAATAGTCAGGCCTGAATGTATTCTATTGATACATAAACAAAGCCCAGCCTGAACCCGACCCAACCTGGCCCATGAACAGACCTAGAGCCAAAGTGCTCATTAAGGTAATCGACTTTTATAGTTAATACACAATAAGAGACTGCCACCAGTCGTCTTCCCCATTTTGAGATCCTAAACCACACAATAATATGAGAAAAGTAGCTAAGCAATGAAGAGATTTAGCAAGTTTACTAACATATAAGAGACTAAAGGGAAACTAATGTACATAGAAAACAATGTAGACTATGGTCAAAACCAAGAGATACAATACGGGTACAAATAATGGAGGAAGAAGAGTTGTCAGCCAAAGTAACGGTCTAAGATGTGGAGGGTGGAGACATAGACAAAAACAAGTTTGAGGAACCAGACATATAGTAAACTCAATTACCCAAAGACTTAGAACTGAAAGAATTGATAGGTACAAAGCTTGTCATATTACAAAAGGATATATACAGACATATGGGGTGAATTATTCTAAGACCTTTTCACTTGTGGCTAAATTTTGCTTTGTACGGGTTCTCATCTCTCTAGTTGCTCATTTTGATTGGCCTTGCTTCAACTTGATGTCAAGAATGCCTTCCTCCATGATGATCTTTAGGAGGAGCTGAATATGGAGCAACCTCCTAGGTATGTTACTTAGGGAGAATTTGGTAAGGTATGTAGGTTTAGAAAGGCTATTATGGGCTAAAATAGTCCCCACAAGAATGATTTGGCAAATTCAGTAGCATGGTGCAAGACTTTGGTTTGAAACAACTCAATGTTGATTACTCCATGTTCAGTAGGGATATCTCCTCTAGAAGATCATCATGGAAGTTTATGTCGATGACGTTGTTCTTACTGGCAGTGATGCACATGGCATTAATGAACTGAAGCAATTCCTACAACAACATTTTCAAACCAAAGACCTAGGAACATCAAAGTATTTCTTGGGACTAAACAATAATAATGGTAAGAATAATAGGAATAGGAAAGGTGGCAGTGCCAATGTCTTCTAAGGTTGAGAAAGGGTCCAATGATGAAAAATCAATGGGGGACCAGCTTGCAACCACCAAAGTAGAGTATGAGAAGTATGGCCAACTTATCATCCACTTAGAATCTACCACCGTGACTACTACTTCCTCAAGAACTGGTTCTTCTTTAGATTATGCTCATTTAGATATTCATGCCATTGTGAATCGTGCTTCTATCTCAAGTAATTGTAGGATTCCTTGGATAATTGATTCCAGTGCCTCTAACCATATGACCAATATGTCCCATTTATTTTCTACTTACCAACTCTTATATGGTCAAGAGAATATCCCTCTTGTTAATGGCTCTCTTGCTCCCATCCTTGGCAAGGGAGACATCAAAGCTTCAAATACCCTCACCTTATCTTCAATTCTTTATGTTCCTAAGCTTAACACTAATATGCTTTCAGTTAGTAATTTGACAAAATCCTTGAACTGTAATTTAACTTTTTCCCTTCTTATTGTGTTTTTCAGGACATAAAATCTCAAAAAGTGATTGGGAGTGGCCATGAGGCAAATGGGACATACTTGTAGGATATGCCCGAGTAAAGTCAAGTATCACCTCAAAGAGAAGCCTATGGTTCTAATCAAAGTCATTTAATCGTATTATGTTACGTCATTATCGTCTGGTTTATCTGTTTTAAATCATTGAGTCTTTTGTTTCTAGCTTTATTTAAAGAGACTAAGTTGTCAAGTCTACATTGTGAGTCATGTGAGTTGCCAAAGCATTGTAGAAATTTTTATCCGACAAGTAATAAAAGATCTATAGTTCCTTTTTATGTTGTTCACTCTAATGTGTGGGGGCCATATCATTTACCTTTCAAGGGTGGTTATTAAGTACTTCATTCTATTTTTTTTTATGAATAGTACTTTATTGTATTTATTGATGACTTTTCTCTTTATACCTAGCTTTACCTTGTGCAATCTCGTAATTAAGTGCCAGAGCTTGTGAAACAATTCCATGAATTTGTGTTTACCCAGTTTGATACCCAGATCAAAATATTTCAATATTTTAAGGAATATTTTGAGAAAGACCTTTGTATTTTGAGAGATTTGGAGTTGTGCGTCAAAGTTCTTGTGCTCATACTCCAAAGCAAAATGGAGTGGCGGAGAGAAAGGACCGACATGTTGTTAAAGTAGCTAGGAGAATCCTTTTTGCCTCCCATGTTCCAATTAGATTTTGGGGTAATGCAGTCATGGCAGCTACTATCTTATTAACCGCATGTCTTCTCGAGTCTTGGGGTTCAAATATTCCTTTACTGTTTTGTTTCTTAAATGGTAATGTTTTTCCTATTCCTTTGTGTCTTTGGCTGCACATTTTATGTCCATATTCCCAGCTCTCAAAGACATAAATTTGAACCCAAGGCTCGAAAGTGTATTTTCTTAGGGTATGCCTCCACACAAAAAGATTAGTGTTGTTTTAGTCCTACTAGTGGCACTTGCCACCTTTATTGAGTTGTTTTCTTCTCCACTTCCTCTACCATACCCTATTGACTCCGGTGTTGAATCCTTAACAGCACCCTCTGTTCCTTTAGTAGAGTCTTCCTCGTCTTCCAGTTCTTCTATTCCTACTCCTCCACCACCTACTAGTCCTCCAATTTTCACTACTCATCCTATTGTTCAGAGGTGGTACCGAAGGCAAGGGCTACAACATGGACAGGTTGTCCCCCCATCTATAATTGAGCCTCGAGCACTCCCAATTCCTGAAGAGAGGGCATGTCCTTTACCACCTACTCCAATACCCTCCTTCCTAGACCTTGACCTACCTATTGTTGTGAAAAAAGCCAAGAGAAAATGTACAACTCACTATATCTCAAAACACCTTTGTTACAGCCTGTTGTCACCATCATACTATTCCTTCCTAGCCTCTATCTCCTCTCAACCGATACCCAAGTCGGTTGCAGACGCCTTGTCCAAGCCAGAATAAAAGGAGGCTATGAGAATTGAAATAGAAGCACTTCACAAAAATAATACCTGGGATATAGTAAATTTTCCTATTGGGAAGGAACCAATGAGATGTAAATGGGTGTTCACCATCAAGTATCATGTTGATTATATGGAGACCTCCCCAATTGCCAAGATGACCTCAGGGAGAGTTTTGTTGTCCTTGGCGATGATTTATAACTAACTATTATATCAATTTGATGTTAACAGTGCCTTCTTAAATGGGGGCTTAACGGAAGAGATCTATAAGTCGCTTTCTCCTAGCATATGTGGGAAGGAAATGTAGGGAAAGGTGTGCAAATTAAAGAAACCCCTTTATGGCCTCAATTAATCCCTTCGAGCTTGGTCTGACAAACACCGGGCTGCACTTGTTGAGTTTGGCTACACTCAGACAGAGTCTAACCATAGCCTATTTGTTAAGAGGAGAGGTACTCAAGTTACCTTCTTTATTGTTTATGTTGATGATATTGTGGTTACAGGCAATGATGCAGAGGAAGCTTAAGCACACAAGAGCTTCCTTAATTCAGAATTTGAAATTAAGGATTCAATGGAGTTGAGATATTTCTTAGGATTTGAAATTGCCAGGTCTAAAATGGTATCTTCATCTCCTAACGGAAGTATGTGTTAGATCTTCTTATTGAGATTGGGAAACTTGGTGCCAAACCTACCTCTACACCTATTGGTGCCAACCATAAGCTTTTAGCAAGGTGAGCTCTTGGCAGATAAGGGATTATTCTAGAGGCTTTTGGAAAATAAGGGAATCTAGGAAAGGGTATTCTCTTATCTAAGCATGGACACATGAAGCTAGAGGCTTATTCAGATGCCAATTGGGCTAATAGTATTGATGATAGAAGATCTACATCCGGTAATTGTGCTCTAGTAGTCAGGAATATTGTCGCTTAGAGAAGTAAGAAGCAATCAATGGTAACTAGATCTTTAATTGGGGCGAAATATAGGGCCATGACCCATGATGTTTCAAAGTTGTTATGGCTAACGTAACTTCTACAAGAGATGAGAATTGCATATGATAAGCCCTTGATGTTGTACTGTGATAAACTAATAACCAGGTTATAATTAACATTTTGGGTAAATTACAAAGACCCCCCCTGTACTATGGGGTCTGTGACAAAGACCCCCCTATACTTTATTTTGCAACAAAGCCCCCCTGTACTATGACCGTGAAACAAAGACCCCCTTCCGTTAGATTTTCATTGAAATTCGCGGTTGCAATATTTTTTAATCCCCATACTACCCTTGTAATAAGGACAATTGGGAGAAAAACACTGTTCATCTTCCCTGAACATCATCTTTTGGATGCCCGACAAATAGTATCGGGTTTACATTATGTTTCTTTCTCTCATGTTAAGAGACAATTTAATGGATTAGCTCATGCCATGGCTGCATGGTGCTATGGGTCGAACATTGAAGATGAATGGATTTCGAACCCACCACTTTATATTCAAAGTTTTCTAAGTAATTAAGCAATTTTCTGAAGCAAAAAAAAAAAAAAAATCTTCCCTGACCTCACGATACACGAACAGTAGTGGTACCTCAGATTCCTTCACATTTTTCTTTCTCCCTCTCTCTCTCCCCTGATTTCTCTTCTTCCCCTTCCTCTTTCTCTTCTCTTTCATTAACGCCCAAGCTACTTTCAACAGCAGCAGCCCAATTCCAAAATCGTGAGCAAGAAGGTGATTCTCCTACGACTGCAACTTTAGCAGCCCAATTCCAAAATCGTGAGCAAGAAGGTGATTCTCCTACGACTGCAACTAAAGTTGAGGTAGTGATTTGCTGTCACGGTGAAGGTCCATATTCGTATGGGGCCCAGAGTGCGCCGAGAGGGCACGGCCGTTTGGAGTCTAGCCGGAGCCAAGGCTTACTGTTGCCGCTCTAGTGCAAGAGGCTAACAGGACCTTGGTGGAGATCACGAAAGGTCATATTGGTTCCATCTATGCTCGATCAATGCCACGTGTCCAGCGAAAACCAGTAGGAACGGTGGCAGCGATCCTAGCTGGAAAATTCGGCTCCTCTTTTGGATCTCCATCCACCGTTCAATCCTCTTTGTGTATCCATACCTCCTCCACTTAGATCCATAACCATGATACTTGTGTTGAAATAGCATGGTTTCCTACCCACAAACGTGCCGAAAAACCACCTGTCGAACCAAAAGCTCTCTGTGAAATACTTGCTGAAGTTGGCATGGCAATACTCCAGTGCCCCGACTATTCTAGAGCCAAGGTTTGTAGTCCATAGCTTCGAAACATCATTAACCACCACAACATCGGAATCCAGATATATAACCCGACGAATGCAAGGCTCGAGAATGTCAGCGAGGTAATTCCTCGCGTAATTCAACGGTTGCTCGAGTGCTTGCCTCACCGAAGTCGAGATCAGGTTCCTCACGATCTTTGGATCGAAGAAATAGACCTTGAATTTTAACTAGGGGAACGCAGGAGAATCGCCTTCTTGCTCATGGTCCTGGAATTGGGTTGTTGTTGTTGAAAGCAACCTAGCCGTTAATGAAAGAGAAGAGAAAGGGGAAGGGGAAGAAGAGAAATCGGGGGAGAGAGAGAGAGGGAGAGATAAGAGAGAGAGAAATGTGAAGGAACACGATCGTAAGGTCGGGGAAGATGAACAATGTTTTTCTCCCAATTGTCCTTAATTACAAGGGTACTATGGGGATTAAAAAATACTGCAACGGTGGATTTTCAAAGGAAAGCTAATGGAAGGGGGTCTTTGTCTCACGATCATAGTACAAGGGGGTCTTTGTCGCAAAATAAAGTATAGGGGGGTCTTTGTCATAGACCCCATAGTACAGGGGGGTCTTTGTAATTTACCCTAACATTTTTCACAACCAAATTCAGCATGACAGAACAAAAAACATTAACTAGACAAACAAAAGAGTGGCATCAAGAGAAGTGTGCCTTCCTTTCATTGCCTCAAACAACTGTTAGCAGATGTTTTGACCAACCAAGGGTATCCGTAAGACAAGGTTGTATGAACTTTCATTCTCAAACCTTTTTTATGGTCTAATTAAATTTCATCATTTATCAATAAAAAAAGACAAGGCTATAACACTATCTAAGCAAGTTGGGCATGATTGATATCAATGCTGAACTCGAGGGGGAGTGTAGAGATGATGAGCCAAATGGGTCATAGTTCCTTTCTTTTATTTAAAGCATTGTTTATGACTTATGTTTGTTAGTGGGCCTTAGTTATGGGCTTGTTTCATTTTTATTATTACCTTTATTGTGTCGATCGCCCTACCAAGGGTATTCATGTAATTGTATTCACATTATAATCAAAGAATAAAATATATTTTCGAGGGCTGGAGAGAAGTTCAATAAACTCTCTTCTTCTTTCCCTTTCTTCCTTTCTCTTCCATCTTCTTCCTTTTTTGCTTTATTTTTCAGATTTATACAGGCAGGATTCACAACTATATCCATAGCTTTCCAACCTATTCAGCTAAAAAGTCCACCTTCCTTGACTCTTAAGTAGAACCCATGTAACTCCTATTGTCAAACACCTACTCACATTTCAAATGCATTCTCAACCACTTCTAGACTATAGATCTAGAATCAAATGCATCTGGCACAAGGCATCTTTATCAAGACAACTCAGGTGTCATGCTAAATCACATCCAACTAACTTCAAAGTGCAAAGCATAATGCATGGATGAGTAACACCATGAAGTTTATATAAGAAAATTGTCACAATCAACTTGAAAATTAAGCCAACCAAAGTGGTTAATCTATTAATTATATGAGAGTTTGCTTATTTTTGTTTGATATCATCAATATCAAGTTAAGACCAGTGTTTTAAAAGGCGTGGGAGGCATACACCTGGAGGCGCGCCTCTAGGCTAGGCACTCCCAAAACGCCCTCAGGTGCAAGAGGCGCATGGCTCAAGTGCAAGAGGCGCACGCCTCATGCGCTTTTTTCATGAGGCATGCTAAAGGCGTACACCTCATGCACACCTCATATAAAAAGACTGAAAGAAAAGGAAAAAAGAAAATAGGAAATGGAAGGAAAAGAAAAGAAAGGGAAGGGAAGAAAAGATAAGGGAAAAGACAATACCCCCCCTTTCAACTAATGTTGTGCATCTTTAGTCTTCTTAATATAAAAGACTTTTATTAAAAATAAAGAAAAAACGAGATCCCCCCTTCCTCTTCTTCTTCCTCCCCTTCCTTTTCCTTCTTCCTCTTAACCCCCCTCCTCTTAAGTAGGCTTACGCCTCCTTGTGTTTGGGAGACTTACGCCTCTTACATTCTAAACTGCGCCTTACACCTCTAGGTAGTGGAACGTCTCGCATCACACCTCTGTGTTTTAAAACATTGGTTAAGACTAAACACCTAATAAGAAAAGAAAATTCGATGGGGTAGACTAATATGCAGAGATAGAGCAATAGGTTTTGCTTTTTTTATAAGGAGGTTTTATCTTCAAGTAGGCCTATGGTCACCACTAGCAACGACTTATTCAGTGATCCAATAGTCAAAGTCATTGTCAAAGAAAATACAGATTTATGATTTATTTCTCCAACAATCAAGAAGTGGGAGTCTATCATAAACTAATTTCTCAAGATATCTTACCTGAATCAAAAGAAACTTCTTATTTTGACCACGTGGATGACGCAGCTGGATTTGCCAAATATTTTCATAAGAAAGTCCGAGCTTGTAATCAATAGGAAATTGGGACAGAAAGAAGTGCAACCTTCGCAAGCCAAACTCAAATCTCACTGCAACATCAGCCCCTTTCCAAAGAACAGAAAATTTTTCAGGTGAAACCTGGCAACCAAAATGTAAAGTTGTATGCTCCAAACTAAGCAGTGACATCCTTGGCTTCGCTACGATATCACGCTCTACGTCCCTAACCTTCAGATAATGAGTCCCATAGTATAGGCGCCGATTAACCAAGGAGGTTATTACATCAGCACTTCCAGATGTTGTGAATTGGACAATAACAAAAGCAAATCTTGCATGCCCCTTATTCTTGTGATGCCTAACTTTGAGTGCATAAACAGTTCCATCTCCTGTATATCTCTCTAATAACTCCTTGACTGCTTCTGCAGTCACATTTGCAGGGAATCCAGATAGATGAATTGTCTTACCCATTGAGCAAATAAAACTGCAATTCCATGAATAATACCACATAAGTATTGTACGGTTGTTAACAGGGATCACTCTGGAGTTTTACAAAGAGGGTAAGGAAATTAAAATTTGCAGGGTTAGGTAGCAAGGTCAGCCTAACCTATATAAAAGCCCCATATCATAATTATCATTATTTTATAAAATTAAATAAAATGTTCACCATATTTGATAGCCAATACATGACTTTCTAGTTCATATATACATTAAGATAAAACTTATATACAGCAGGCACGACAGATGCTTAGAAGCAAGATTAACCAATATCTCTAACCTGCAAAACAATACAAAACAAAAGTCCTAATCAATTTGAGTTAACAAAAATATAAGAATATACGAAATTGTTAATCTTCTAATTGTTAAAAAGTATGTAAGCCAATGAATTCAATCATAATTTGAAAAACATTAAGACAATCTTATAAACAATTATTATGTTATTTACATTATCCAAAATAGAAACAACAATAGAATATAAAAGTAATAAAAACAAATAAACATTTGGTAACCAAGATCTTAACATTAGACAGTATTGTAAAAGCCCTGGCTTCATTAATCTTGTAATCATTGCCATAGCAGAAAATGAGAAAAGAAAAAGCAGAACAAAAAGAATCTACTGCATTCTGCTCAAAATTCACTGTCAAAAAAGCCACCTAACATAAGAAGTAATTTGGGAAAATGATATTGCAAAATCTTCAAAATTGTGTTATGTTTATGACATCTAATCAATGGATCCCAACTTCTAGTAAGCACACACACACAAAATTATATATCAAGTGATGATCAGAGGATGCAAACAGAAAAATGTTAACCGAACCGTGGGCCTTCTTTTGTAGTCAAACCGGTACTACCGGTTTTTGGAAAACCGGTAACCGAAACCGAACCAAAGCCTATCAGTTAACCGGTTGACCGGTTCGGTTAACCGTCGGTTCGATTTGTCAGTTTTTTTGGTTTTTTAATTTTTATAATACATATTATAAAAATATATATAAATATATAATAAAAAAATATAAATATATATAAAATATTATATTTTAAATAAAAATTATATATCATATATTATAAATATAATGCATATTTATTAATTTATAATATATAAAAAATATACAATATACATAAATATATATAATATATAGAAATATATGTATACCGGTCGGTTTGGTTAACTGCCGGTTTTCTATATTGGTAACCGAAACCGAACCAGTACCTTCATTTTTTAAAAACACCGAACCAAAAACAAATTGACCGGTTCGGTTTTTCGGTTTTTTTTTTTTGCTCACCCCTAGCATATTGTGCTCCAGTGGATTAAATCCAATAGTGAATATGAAACATGAAATAAAAAATTCTCTTTGATCTTGGAACAGTTCTGCACAGAAAATTTATTAAAAAAAATCCATCAATAATCAGGAGAACTGTGAGAAATATATACTGCAACTGCCTTAAAGATTGCTTCGTTCTGGTTTCTGAATACAAGAGGAAATAGTGTTCTCCTTGATATTTTCTAGCCATGACAGTAACTTACAAAGTCAATCATTAATTTGGTGCTTATGTAGATATTTTATGAGTTTATTTTCCTTAAATTTAGAAGTCCAACCTAACAAAGAATTAAGAATTTTTGTGGACAAAAATGTTCTCTCCCCTTTTCTCCCAGGTAGAGAAGCAAATCAGTGTTTTATTGTGTAAAGTGGTGAAGACGGGTGTTGAAGCCAGCCCATGCTACAAATGCCATGGCCTTTTATTTGATACTCTTATGAACTCCTGTTATATTTTAGCAATAATGTCATGCAGAAGAAGCTAACAAAATCAGATCACTGCAACATACTTTGTCCATCTCACAGCAGGTGAATGAAAAACAGGGAAGAATCCCTGTAACAAGCTTGATATTAGAGGGAGTACGATCATTGAGTATTCATGAAAATTTAGATGATATCAACTCTTGTATCACATAATTCAGAACAAAGACATAATAAAATAAAGAAAATAAAAAGTCTAGATCTATGATATATCAACATATACTACAGGGATTGCGTGATAAGGAATCGTTAAAGAAATGGGCTAAAAAAGTACTGTTAAACAAATGGAATAATTTCAGCAAACCATTCAACACCACAAATTAAATTCAAGCTATAAACATCAAATCTTCTTTCCACTCTTTCCCATCAAAACGAGATGCCCTTAAACATACAACCCCTAATATTCTGAAGGAACTAAACTACATGAATCAAGACTCCACTCATCACCCACTTGAAGAATCAAGACTCTATCCAATCATAGTGGTTCATTTCACAGGAACGAAAAGAACAAGAAAGTGCCGTCACCCACCGACGATCTTACTAAACACTTCAACGACAAACCACACTTATAACACATCATAAGAAAGAAAGTTACTCATCAAAAGAACATAAAAAACAAACATCTAACCTTTAAGTTCAAATATTTCTATCAAGCAAGCAGACTCTTACTCGTCACACCAACACCCACTATCTGAATAGTTCAAAACTACAGGGGAGGAAGTTCATAATCCATGGTTGCAACTTGCAAGCTTCGATAGAAATCGGGCTTCAAAACTGAGTGTCACTTTTAGTCCATATATATATAGCACAATACTGCCAGTATGCGTACGACTGTACGAGTAAGATATGAAGATATTCACACTTCAGAGACCGAATAATGCAATACAAGCAAGCCTTCCAATGAAACTATACAGACTCCTTCATAACCACTGGATTGAAAGCTTTGGTCTGAGACATTACAGATTTGAGCAGTGGTCTATGACAAATCTACAGACCTATCGCTTGATAACTGTTGGATTGGGATCGTTGTAACGTGGCCCCATGTCCCACGATTTTAGGATTTAAGCTGATTATACGGGACCAAGAAAATTTCCTGGATCGGTTACTTTCAACTTTCCTTCTGCTTTTTTTTCTCCTTTTTTGTTTTTTTTTTGTTTTAGCCGATTTTCTAGTCAACTGGGCCAAACTTCCGAGTCGTCTCAAGTCACGAAAATCAGAAAATGATGGGGTGAGCAAAAAAATCCGAAAAACCGAACCGACCGAAACCGTACCGGTCGGTTTGGTTTCGGTTCGGTGATTTTAAAAAATCGAAAGTATCGGTTCGGTTTTGGTTAACCAATTTATAAAACCAGTGATTAACCAAACCAACCAGTATACATATTTTTGTATATATTTATGTATATTATATATATATATGTATTTTATATATTATAAATTAATAAATACGCATTATATATAAATATATATTTATAATATATTATATATTATTTAAAATATAATATTTATATATTTTTATAATTTTTTATTATATATTTATATATATTTTTATAATAAATATTATAAAGTTAAAAAACCGAACCATCAATTAACCGAATCGGTCAACCGATTAACCGACTGATTTCGGTTCGGTTCCGGTTACCGGTTCGGTCTAAAAAAGACCCACGGTTCGGGTATATGGCTTTTTATGTGTCTAACATGCGCCGGTGGCACTGGAAGCGTAGTTTGTCATAGGTTTGAATTGGGACCCACCATTTTCGTGGTCGGACACGTGGCCCCACATCCTAAATCATTGATGATCCCATTTGGCTTCTAAAGTGATTTAAAACCGGGTCCCACCTAACTTTGTCGATAGATTTATTACTTGATCTATCTCTATTCTCTAATAATTGTGGCTTTGTCTTTCTTCGTTGTTAAGAACTCTCAGCTGAGTGCCTGAGTGTCACGAGGGTCGCGCTTGGCAGGCTAAGCCTGTCTCAGACCGTGACATGTGTGCTCCGTCAAATGTCTGAGAGCCAAACAAGTACTTCTTCGATCTTTGGGATACGGTACGACCAATCCACTATCATAGGAATAATTGTGGAAATGGAAAACTTGGCCATCAAGCAATTAATTACGATTGTTAATGTATTTTGATGTAAATTTAGATTTGATAGATCGTTATTTCATTTAGTTATAAAATGTTAATTTTAAATATTATTTCTTTTAATTTTTAGTTGGAATTGTTAATCATACATATATATTGATTGATTGTTTTGATGAACATAAAAGTTAATAAAATCTATTTTATTTCATTAAATAATATAAAAGACAAGATGGTTTAGTGGTTTAAACTAATGTTAAGAGATTTAGTGTCATCATTAATAATTGATTTGGGTTTAAGCCACACTATAAGCATTAAGAAACTTTTTTTTAGAAAAAACCCTTTGGTCAAGGGGTTTAACGGGTGGGATGGGTCGGGATAGGTTTAACGGTTTTGGGACGTGGACGAATTTGGGAAATTGAGAGGAAAAGTTAGACGGGTTAGAGACGGACTTAGAATCAAGGATACATAGATGGGTTTAGGAATGGGTAGGGCAATAGCATTAATCTTACCTGACGCCAACGTGTTAGCTAAGTTGGCTGAAAGTTGGCGTGATCCGGTGTATTACGGGTCACCTAAGCGTCTGTTTGGCATCGATGTTATTGCTCCAGAAAATGGTGACACATCAGCACCATGTTGGAAAAAACAATACTTCCAACCCACACATAATGGTATCTGCAACATCGGTGCCAAACATATACTAAACTCTAACAACTACCCACACATAGTAATGGGAGGAGCTGTTGTTTTCTCTACAAGGCATCCCGACTGGAAAAAAAAAAAAAAAAATTATCGTCGTTTGACGTCTATCCCTCTGTCAACACCTGGAACCTTCTTTAAATGTTGTGTTTGTAAGATGTTTAATTAATTTTTTCATATTATGCACAGTTGGATGTGGTTTTCATCCAAGATAAGTTGGATTAACTCAATGGAAGCTAAATATCAAGTAAAAGTGTCACATCAAATCACGCCACCAAATAGCCAACCATGAGGAAATGTTTATTTTTGTTGAGTTGTAAAGTAACTTTATGGGTTGTTTCTTGAAATGCCCAAAAAAGGCCCAACTTAAGGGTTAAGAGATGGCAATTTGACTCATCCCCGTGGGGCTCCACCCTACCCCACCCCGGTCGGGGAGGGTTTTTGACCACTAGTCGAGGTTCAAGGCAAGTTCAGGGAAAACCCGAAACTCTAGGGATCGGGGACGAGGCGGGGACAGTTTTTGTCCACCCCGCCCTGACTATATTATATAACATAATACATATAAAGTTGTTAATATATGCTAATGTATATTATATCATAATATATTATTATATATTATATTATATTATATAATATTACATAATATTAAATAGTTCTAGGTAGGTTTCAAAGAAATAAAAAAATAAATTTATAAATATACAAGTAAGAATGACTGGGGTGGGGCGGGGCAAAGTCGGGGATCCCGTTCCTCGTGGGGACAAGGATGGGGTTAAGATTTTTATCCCTGTTGGGGTTTAGGGCAAGGGCAGGGTGGGTAATTTTAATTCGGGGTTGGGTACGAGGCAGACAAAACCCAGCCTCGCTCCACCCCGTTGTTGTTTCCTACTAGGGGTGAGCATTATTCGATTAAAACCGAAAAACCAAATTGAAAATTTTGGTTTCAGTCTCAGTTTTTAGAATTACAAATTCGGTTAACCGAATAAATCAAACTTTAGTATGTAATATCTAATATATAATATATAATATGTAAGATATAATATATAATATATAATATGCAACATATAACATATAATATATATATATAATATTTATATATTAATATAATGAAATTTGATTTCATAATATATATTTTATAATATATATTATATGTTATAATATATAAGATAGTAGTATATTATTAAAATAAAGTTTTAACCAAAAACCAAACCGAAATTTTCAGTTTTTGTAAAATTCGGTTTTGGTTTCGATTTTTATTTTTTTTTAGTTCGGTTTTAAAATTTCAATTTATTAAATTCGGCTTTTAATCGAATAAACCAAATGCTCACCCCTATAGGACTGTGCATTCTATACTCTCCTGAATCACACAATTCACAAACAATCAAATCTAGAAAATGGTCAACTCGAATAGAAAGGTTTGAGGCAAGTCAGACTCTTCTAACTATCAAACATTGAAAAAAATAAGTGAGTAGAAGTCTCCTCTTCTTGATTACAGTTTGCATAAGGGTCTTACATGTTAGGATCGTTGGGAGATATACTTTGCCATAGGCATAGCACCAACAATACATCTTAGTCTTAGGGGTCAAGTGCTTGATTTTCCAAAACAAACTCTAGGAGGTATCTCCCAACACATACTATCATACTGAAATGAAGATGAATTTGCGTTGCCTCCTATTCATACTAGCCCAAGTATGAGACACATTATGCCGATTAGGTGCAGTCCAAAAACTTTCATTTGTTTTCAAATACTTTACTTTTCAAACTCTAAGAGGGCATTGTCACCGCCTTGCCAGTTGTCGGAGTATCACTTGCCATTGTCGTTGGTGAGTGAGTGTCTGAGTGGTGCGGATGTGGGTTGTCGTCGGTTTCAAACTGAAGAGATGAGAAGACGAAGAGAAGCTCAGAAGTCACTAAGTCAAAAACGAAGATAAGAGAGAAGACTGAACAAGTTAACTCTAAAGAAGTGAAGAGTAGAAGACGCATTGGGCAGAGAGAGGCGCAGAGCCACAGAGGGAACTGGGAAGGCGGAAGGGAGACTGGAGAGTGGAGACATGTCGAGCTTGAGCCCTCAAGGGTTTTGTGTTTTGGCCAAATGGCATATATAATTACAAATTTGCCCTTACAAATTCGGTTATTTCAGTTAACTGAACCTCTAAATATCAGAACCTAAACCGAAAACCAATAATACTAAAATCGTATTTAAAAACTGAACTATGCTCACCCCCTACCCCTAGCCCAACCAATTGTTTTTGTGACATAAATGCCCTAAAGTTTTAGATTTTAGCACCTTCCCCATGGAGTCTAGATCACCTGCCAATAAAATACATTTCAACAATTTACCAACATGATATGACACCGCACATAACACATCTTATATGAAAACGGATCTGCTCCTCACACATGGGGTGCCTCACAGGCACATCCACGTGCATTGAGAAGATCTCCCGTGAATAATAACATATAAGTATGGGAGATATTCCCAATGCATGGTAGGATGTGAGTGTGAGGTCGGTGTGTGGCGCCCTGTGTGAGGAGTAGATCCGGTCTCATCTTATATATGGTGGGTCCCACTTTTATGATGGATCCCTGTCTCGTGTGCAGTATTAGATCAAGCTGGTAGGGTGTTGGAACATGTTTTATTGGGAAGAGATATATCCAATTCTTAATGGAGTTCATAAAAGTGAAAAAAAAGGTATTAAATTGTCATTCTAATGGGTTGATCCATCGGTAGCAACAAATATTAAAATGAATAAATGACAAAAATAGTTAAAAAATTCAAAGCAAAACTTTGCTCGCATGGAGCATACAGTCACAAGGGTGATTTGTCATAGGAGAATCTCTGCAGAACTGATCATCTTACTTCATATGCCGAATTAGAAAACAATGGCTCCCCTCTCCCCCCTCCCCTTTCTCTCTCTCATCTCCTCTTCTTCTTCTTACTCCATTCTTGTTACCGTTCATCATCTTCTTTGAGATGCCGAACCTGAAAACAGCAGCATTCCTCCCCTCTTTCTCTCCTAGAGAGTAGTGGAAGAACATTTTCTAGAGACATGAGATTGTTCGTGATTTGACCT